CTTTTTCTTAATTTCTGTAACATGTGTCATTAACATAGTCCATTTTTTTTTAAACATGATTTTTCTTTTATTTTTTTAGTATCTCCTTGGTTTAATTTTATTTCCTTATGAATTTTTCCCTTTTTTTAATATTTATTTTTCAGTTTTCGGCAGATACAACATCTTTCTTTGTATGTGGTGCTGAGGATCGAACCTGGGCCGCACGCATGCCAGGCGAGCGCACTACCGCTTGAGCCACATCCCCAGCCCTCTAGCTTATTTATTTTGAGATGGAGTCACACTATGTTGCTTAGATTGGTCTCAGATTCCTGAAGTCTTCTTGCTTAGGCCTCCTGGCCTCCTGAGCAGCTGGGGCTATAGGGGCACACCATCATACCCTGCATATTAGCTTTTTTGTTGTTGGGTTTTTTTGTTTTTGTTTTTGTTTTTTTTGGGATGGTGGTGCTGGGGATTGAACCCAGGGCATTGTGCATGCAAGGCAAACACTGGAACAACTGACTTAAATCCCCAGCCCCCTAGCTTATTTTTCAAACAGTAATTTCTAACTTTTGACAATGGAGCTAATCCTTAGCACACCTGAAATGCTAGCAAATGACACAGTTACAGGTTGAACATCTCTAATCCAAAATTCTAAACTCTGAAATGTTCCAAATCCAAAGTCGTGAGGTGCAAGGTGGTGGGGGGGTGGGGGGGCAATGTGATGCCATAGATAGAAAATTCCATACCTGAGTCCAGGCACAGTGGTGAATGTGTATAATTCCAGTGACTCAGGAGGCGGAAGCAGGAGGATCACAGGTTTGAGGCCAACCTCAGCAATTTAGTGAGACCCTGTCTCCAAATAAAAAACAAAAAGGACTGGAGAAGTAGCTGAGGAGTAAAGTCCCCCTGGGTTTAATCCCCATACCAAAAGAAGAAAAAAGAAAAGAAAATTCCATACCTGAACTCATGAGACAGATTGCAAGGTTGCAGGCAAAATGCAGACACATTAAAAATATTGTATAAAATACCTTCCAGCTATTTTATTCATTTATTAATGTGTCCAAGATATATATTAACATAATTTCATGGTATTGCCCGGTGCTGCTTGCCTGTAATCCCAGCAGCTGGGGAGGCTGAGTCTGAGGATTGTGAGTTCAAAGCCAACTCAGCAAACTTGAAGTACTAAGCAACTCACTGAGACCCAACTCAGTAAGTCCCTATCTCTAAATTAAAAAAAAAGAAAAATACAAAATAGGGCTGGGGATATGACTCAGTGGTTCAGTGACCCTGAGTTCAATCCCAGTACTAAAATAATAATAATAATAATTATTATTATTAATTATTATTATTATTATTATTTGGGTCCCATCCTCAAGATATTATGTATATACAAATATTTCAAACTTCAAAATACTTCTCATCCCAAGCAGTTTTGGTGTGTGTGTGCGTGTGTGTGTGTGTGTGTATTACTGAAGACTGATCCCAAGGCACTCTATCAGTGAACTACATCCTTGGCTTGTGTTCCATCTGTCTCAGCCTCCTGAGTTACTGGTATTACAGGCACGTGCTTTGGTGCCTGATCTTGTCTCAAAAATTTCTGATAAGGGATACTCAAATTGTACCTCTCCAGCACTGATCTCTTCACACAAGAAAACAAAATCAGTCAGGGATATGGGTGCATTATTTGATAAATGCACATTTTAATTAGAGTCCAGATAGTACTAGGAAGTCACCTTGAGAATCAGAAAAGACCAGAAGAAGGAGAGGGAAGAGACACCTCTTGACTGTATTTGCCTTTGAAAAGATAGTACTTGTTAACATCAAAGGAATAATTCTTTAACAATAGAATTTAAAGTAGTAGTCAAAATGAAACAAAGAATTTCAAACACTGCTGGGAAAGTGTTTTAAGTTCAGTACTTTTCCTGTGCTTAAAGCAACATCTCAGAAGTAGCAGTCTTTGGTACTTAAAATAATTACCATTTCCTGAGTGTCAACTGATGTGCCATTCCCTTTCCTGAGTGTCAACTGATAATGCCATTCTCTTTATCCAACATTGCTGTTAATTCCACAGAAATGTTTAAAGAGCCAGTCATGAGGACACATGACTGTGATTTCTGTAACTTCGGAGACTGAGGCAGGAGAATCACAAATTTGAAGCCAGCTTCAGCAACTGAGACCACCCTGTCTCAAAATAATTAAGAAAAAAAAAAAGGACTGGGGATGTAGTTTAGTAGTAAAGCACCCCTGGGTTTAATCCCCAGTACCACCAAAAAAAGGATGGAAGGAAGGAAGGGAGGGAGGGAGGAGAGAGGAAAAGAAAGGAACTGGTTTTGTGCTTGGTAGCTGTACCTGTAATCCCAGCGATTGGGGAAGCTGAGACAGATGTACTGCAAATTCCAGGCCAGTCTCAGCAAATTGGAGAGACTTTAAGCAACTTAGACTCCATCTCAAACTAAAAGGAGCTGCTGAGTGCGGGTGGCACATTTCTGTAATCCCAGACGCTTGGGAGGCTGAGGTATGGAGTATGGCAGTTTCAAAGTCAGCTTCAGCAATTTAGCAAGACCCTGTCTCAAAATAAAAAGAATTGGGGATGTGGCTCAGTGATTAAGCGCCCCATGGTTCAATCCCTGGAGCCAATAAATAAATAAATAAAAATCATGTTTTTCAGATTTTTTTTTTTTTAAAGAGAGAGTGAGAGAGATAGAGGTAGAGAGAGAGAGAATTTTTTAATATTTATTTTTTAGTATTTGGCGGACACAACATCTTTGTATGTGCTGCTGAGGATCGAACCCGGGCCGCACGCATGCCAGGCGAGCGCGCTACCGCTTGAGCCACATCCCAGCCCCAGAGATTTTTTTTTTTTTAATATTTATTTTTCAGTTTTCAGGCGGACACAACATCTTTGTTTGTATGTGGTGCTGAGGATCAAACCCCGGCCGCATGCATGCCAGGCAAGCGCGCTACCGCTTGAGCCACATCCCCAGCCCCGTTTTTTATGGAGACTGAGCTTCAGAATATTTAAGCAACTTGTCCAAGGCAAATAGTAGAGATAGTTGAATCTAGTTCAGCCTAATTCTTTTTTTTTTTTTTTTTTAATTTTTTTTAGTTTTCGGCGGATACAACATCTTTGTTTGTATGTGGTGCTGAGGATCGAACCTGGGCCCACACGCATGCCAGGCAAGCGCGCTACCCTTTGAGTCACATCCCCAGCCCAGCCTAATTCTTAAGTCCTGTTCTTTTTGCTACATCATCCTTTTCCCCTTCCCTACCTTACTTATGACTTTAGAAATTGATGTAACAGATGCATTTCCTGTGGGCATGAGCAATGTTACTTTACATATTATTGAACAAGATTATTATGACTGAGTTGCAGTTACTCTTAAAAAGAAAAGAAACTCTGCGAGTCAGAATAATTTATCACTATTCTGATGGGAAAAGAACTAAACCCATTTAATCTCAAACAATATTCAACATGGATATTGCTTTTTGTTGTTTGTTTTTGTACCAGAGATTGAACCCAGGGCGCTTAACTACTGAGCTACATCCCAGTCCTTTTTATTTTGAGACAGGTCTAAGTTGCTTAGGGCCTGGCTAAATTGCTGAGGCTGGTCTGGAATTTTAAGATCCTCTAGCCTCAAACTTCCTAGTCGCTGGGATTACAGGGGTGCGGCACCACACTAGGCTTTCCCCCGCCCAATTCTTTGTCTTGGGAGACCTAGGAGTGTAAGTATTCTCGATGTTGAGGAGTAGGAGTTTTGGATGTTTTAATGAGGCAGAGATTGAGGATTACAGAGATTACTGGAGATTCAGAGAGGCGGTGAGTTGATAAAACTCTGGTAAGGAACGTTTTAAAATCCAAAAATGTAAAAATGTCGAAGATGTGAACTACAGAACTGTTCAGAAGGGGATTGCTTTTCGGACCAAGCATCAGGTACTCGCTTGTAACGTCACGTGTTCTAGTTTTCTGGGCAGCAACGTTCTAAACGAATCACTCGTGTTTGCAGTTTAAAAACTCAAACTCCCTACCATCTTCGCACGCGGCGCGCACGGCACCACGGTACTTGTAGTCTAGGACAGACTCTAAGTCCCATGGTGCCTTGCGGCGGGTCGTCGCGCCTGCGCGTTGCGGGCGGCGGGCAGCGAAGAGTGCGAGGCTCTTTTGTTCGGCTGAGGGGAGGGCTGTTGGCTGGGGCCTGCTGTACACTGCTACAGCTAGGGGCTCGACTGTGGCCACCCCGCTTGTTGCTTTACTGGGCGCCACTCCCCCGACTGGCCCGACGCGACGCGCCAGTAGCGCGACACCGATTCCTCCTGGACTCTTGGGCGCTGCTCTGAGGTAAAGGGCCCTCCGGAGGAGGGGGGAGGGGGCGCGGCGGTGGCGGAGCCCTGTATGTGGGGCCGCGCTCGGGCTGCGAAGTGTTGGAGCTCGGAGCGCGCCGGAACCCAGTGCCCTGTGGTCCTTCCCGCCGCCTGGCGCTGAGGGGTCTAGTGCCAGCTGCGTGATGGATGGAGAGGGCGGGGTGGTGAATCCTGAGCGAGAGATTGAAGCGGTCCCGGGTGGGCCGAGCATTGGGGCTTGTGGGGGGCTGTCGCTCTTTGGAGTCCGGGTAGACCGAGACAATGCTTCTTGAGTTGGGTGGGCGACCCCGGGGTTGGGCTAGAGTGGAAACACTTCAGGAAACTGGGAAGGAGACAGGCTTGATGCTTTGGAGTGAGTGGCTGGGGCTTCCTAACCGACGTTTAGAAATGTAACCTGAGGGTATCGGATCGGGTGGAGACTGCCCGAGGAATTTTGTTTGCTGGGCTACTAAGAAGTAACTTCGAGTAAATTGGGCGAGGGGGCTGGGCAGCCCAAGATGTGCTAATGGGGGAGGGGGTCTGTTGAATAAATTGATGAGGGCGAGGGTCAGATATTTGTCCTCTCTTTAGTGGGAGGGAAGCCCTTAGGTAAGTAAGCCAGTAAGGTGTGGAAGAAAAAGGGAGAAAATGATCCGCCCTTGTTTTTTTTTTTTTCCTTCTGGGTTCTTACAGTGGGGAGGCTGTAAGAATAGTCTGTGGAGAAACGATGGAACCCTCTTTCTTTACTTTCCCAGTTTTTTCTTTGTTTTGGTACCGGGGATTGAACTCAGGGGCACTCAACCACTGAGCCACATCCCCAGCCCTATTTTGTATTTTATTTAGAATTGCTTAGCACCTCGCCACCGCTGAGGCTGGCTTTAAACTTGAGATCCTCCTGCCTCGGCCTCCCGACTCCTGGAACTAAAGCTGTGTGCCACCGCCCCAGCCCCCAGATTTTTTTCAAGTCCAAGTGCAGCTCTTGAGTTAATTCACAATTAGTTCCATACATTTTTAGCTGGAATTGTTACTGGTCTCACAAAAGGTAGTAAAATTACAAAATGCATAGATGAATTAATAGTTAAGGAACACAGGGAGATTGTGAATTTGGTAGGCAAAAAGGGGAATGTAAGTTTGTCAGTTTTACACAGGGGCACTTAACCACTGAGTTACATCCCTATCCCTGTTTTCTTTTCTTTTTTTTTTTTTTTTTGTGTGTGTGTGTGGTGCTTGTGCATTCGAGGCAAACACTCTACCAACTGAGCTATATCCCATGCCCTGTCTGCATTTTATTTTGAGACAGGGTCTCCCTGAGTTGCTTAGGGCCTCACTAAATTACTAAGGCTGGCTTTGAACTTGCCATCCTCCTGCCTCAGCCTTCTGAGCCACTGGGATTACAGGCACACCACCACATCCACTGTTTGTTTTCTTTCTTTTTTTTTTTTTTAAAGTCAACCTGATTGTTAGAAATTTTTTGAATATGGAGGGAGGGCATTATTTTACCTGTTTTCCAGAGCTTCACATGAAGATTTTTTTTACAGATCGGTGTTCGGTGTTGTATTTAAACATGTATTGGTTTAACTCAGTTGGTGGAATTTACCCTAAAAAATTAACCTCTACACCTCTCTCTACCCAGCGGAAAGACATCCTCAAGTGCGTTGGGCACGTGCGTAAACCCAGCAAGTGGGAAACTAAGGCAGAAGGATCACAAGTTCAAAGCCAGCCTTAGTAACTCAGTGAGACCCTGTCTCAAAAAAAAACACGGGCTAGAGATGTGACTCAGTGGTTAAGCATCCCTGGGTTCAATCCCTGGTACTTAAAAAATATCCTCCAGTATGTTAAAGAATCATGTCAGCAGTTTGGAATAATTCTAAAATGTAAAGGGTTTTGAAATAGATGTGTGAATACAGTGGAGAAATTAATTGCTTTGTTCTTCCCTAGGTGCCTTCTAGACATTTATATGGAAAGTGATATAATTGAAAAACACCTGTATTGGTACAAGTTTCACCTTAACAAAGCTTCAGGGCAGCAGAAGATCTTAAGTCATTTCAGGTTTTCCCTGGGGTGACATTTTTCTTCCTAGCTCTAGTAGCCTAAATTGGTTTTTATCGAACATGTAAATAATGTGTAGTCTAGTGTTTCTAGCAAACAACCCAGCGCCCCCTCCCCCCCATACTGGGGTTTGAACCCAAGAGCTTTTTATCCTGAGCTATATCCCCAATCTTTTTTATTTTGTAACAGGGTCTCACTAAGTTGCTTAGGTCTTGCTAAATTACTGAGGCTGGCCTCAAACTTGTGATCCTCCTGCCTCAACCTCTCAAGTCACTGGGATTATAGGCATGTGCCCATCCCTAGCAGTCTGGTTTTTAATGTTTTTGCCCTGGTATTAAATACAAAAAAGATATGCAAACTGCAATTGACCATTTTAATTTAGATCCCAAGTTCTGGGCTTCTAATAGTAAGCTGTATAGCTTGAATATTTTGTTTTAAAAGTGTCTTGAGATGGAGATGTTAACTCAGTGGTCAATCCCTTGCCTAGTGTGTACAAGGCTCTGAGTTTCATTCCACATCACTCCAAAAAACAAAAAGTTATCTTAAAATCTTTTTGTAGTCCTTCCTGGCTATCATGCATGCTAGCCATGCTCTCTAGCATTTAACTTTACCTGCAGCCCAAATGGTTTCTCAATTTTGGAAAGTCTGTTGGTTTTTTTTTTTTTCCCCATCTTCTCCCTTGATAGTGGTGTTTGGAATTGAATTCAGAGCCTATGTCCTCTACCACTGAGCTACACCCCCAGTTTCTTTGAAAAATATTTATCATTCTTTACATAAAGTGAATAGTAAGGATTTCCCAAGAGCAGCGTCTATTGAAAAATTGAATTGCCTTTCCAAGGTTAAGTGGAGAAATTAGTCATATATGGACAGAATTCAGATCCTGTCATTGTTTGAATTGCCTAACGCTTTCAATCTTTCTGGTTTTTAATGTTTGATTTTACCACCAGAAGAGGGCAACCTAATACATCTGTGAAATAAAGCCTTTCTCTCTAATAACACCTGGAGGGCCTAATAGAACTATTTGAGAGGTTTTGGTTGGGAGTTGGATTTTGTTACCTGTGAATGCTTTGCTCTCTACTTTTAGTTCAACATAATCATATATTTATTTTTATTTATTTATTTATTTATGGTGCCGACATTGAACCTTTACCACAGAGTTATGTCCTCAGCTCTTTTTTATATTTTTATTTTGAGACAGGATCTATGCCGAGTTGCTCAGGCTGGCCTTGAACTAGCAATCCTGCCTTAGCCTCCTGTGTCACTGTTTTTTGTTGTTGTTGTTGCATTTTTGTGGTGCAGGCTAGGCAAGTGTTTTACCACTGATCTACACCACAGCCCTAATTCCCCCCCTTTTTGGGAGGGGTTGTGAACTATTTATTAAAACAAAAGGCCTACAGATTCTTTTCTTCTTAGACACACCCGCAGTTTAACCATGGTACCCAGTGGTCTTGGTGTGTTGACCTTGGATTCAAAAGCCCCAGAAGTGGTGCAGTCCTTTACAGTCCTAATCTTCAGTCACTTCAGGTCATCATGGAGCTTGTTATCAAGACCATTGGCCAGAGCCTGACTGAAAGTTCCATCTTTTATGTCCTTTTGTCTGTTCAAGAACTAGTCTGGGATCTTGTACTATTTGGTAATTTTACTTTTAAGTGACAAATAAATGTATATATTTATGGGATACAGTGTGTGTGCGCGTTTCTTTTCGTGGTTTTGCTTTTGAAGTACTGTAGACTAAGCCCAGGGGGAGACGTAACATTTAAGCTGGGTCTTGAAGAAAGGGTAGAATTTTGACTTTTGGTCCAGTATATGTGTGTGTGATTGTGTGTATTAGAATGTGAGTTAATGGGAATAGAACCCATGCACGCTGCCTACTTAACTGCATTCCTAGCTGTCACTACCCTGCTTTGGTTTTAGTTTTGGGTTTTGGTGGGCTTTTTGTTGTTGTTCTGGGGTGGGGGTGGGATTGTTAACAGGGTCTCACTGTTTCCCAGACTGGCCTTCTGTAATCCTTCTGCCTCCATCTCCTGAGGATCTGGAATTACAGGCATGTATCAATGCACCTGGGTAAGGGCACACCACTTCTTTTTTTTTTTAAGAGAGAGAGAATTTTTAAATATTTATTTATTTATTTTAGTTTTTAGTGGATACAATATCTTTATTTAATTTTTATGTGGTGCTGAGGATCGAACCCAGCACCCTGCGCGTGCCAGGTGAGTGCGCTACTGCTTGAGCCACATCCCCAGCCCAGAGCACACCACTTCTTAATAGGCAATACAAAGCCATGCATGGACAAAACATGCAGTATGTGTTCAGGTTATGATAAGTAGTTTTCTGTTTTGACAGGAGTTAAATCTTGTGAAGAAAGTGTAGTTAATCTGGAACAGCTGGACCCAAAGGGTATTGGATGTTACCTGAGGAGTTGGACCTTTGTTTTAAGGGGACATCTCATAGAAAGATTTTAGCCTACCCCCTTCCCATGAAGCCTACTTTAGCCCACACTGGTTTGTAACATCCCATTGCTTTTGTTTACAGCAGTTTGTTAGGCCAAATTTCCCTCCTTCAGTTTACCTTTTCAAATGCTGGTAGAGCCAGGCTTCAGTTCCTGCTTTTTAAATCTTCCTTAGTTACCTTACTCAGTTCTTCCTCCAACCTCTTGTGATGCTTGCTTTTGTGTCTACATATTATTGATTATATTTCTTTGGCTAATTAATACATGGTACTTTTTCTTGTCATTTCTTTCTTTCTTTCTTTCTTTTTTTTGGTACTGGAGATTGAACTCAAAGGCACTTAACCACTGAGCCACATCCCCAGCCCTTTTTATTTTGTATTTTGAGACAGGGTCTCTCTAAGTTACTTTGAACTTGCAATCTTCCTGCCTCAGCCTCCCAAGCAACTGGGATTATAGGTATATGTCACAGCACCTGGCTATTCTTGTCACTTCTAACTCTC